AGATAAACTGGAGCTATTTGCAGTAATAAAGAACTTCAAGGCATTTGAAACAAAAATTGTGGACAAGGTAGTTCAGATAGCCACCACCAGTACCACAGTGATATAAACAATTGAGCTGGAACACCATCTCTTTTGCTCATCACAGTGCATTTCTGGGAATGGTGCCGCATCTTCCCAATGGCCATTGATGTAGTGGAGAGAAGACAACCAATTAGCTGACAACATGAGCAGACAGGTGGCTCAGGATCCCAAATAGACACACCTTCAGTGAGTAGCTCCATGGTGGCCATGACAAGGTTGGTTTGTGACATTGAAACTAATGGTACAAGACTTTTACCAGCTGCTTCTAATCCCTCACTTACTCTCCTAGATCGAAAGGACTGTTCACCATCCAGACATAGCCAGTGGTTGACAGTGTGGAGAATGAGAATCATGCATGAATCTAGAAAACCTTCCACTAGACAGAGCTACGAATATAAATGGCAAAGGAATTTTCTTTCGCCCATTCAATCAGAAAATCTGATTTTCCACTCACTGCATACGGTGTTGTGTTTTCTCTTACACCTTATGGAGAACAGACTGCTCCATTCTTTCATAAGAGTGCATTTGGACCCCCTTATCTGTGGGATCAATATCCACTGATTCACATGTTCACAGTTTGAAAATACAGTATTAAAATATTACATGGAAAAAATAGAAAAACTATGGTTTTTCAATATGTAATTATCAGAACTGGCCACAAAAGGGAAAAAGATACTGTGCTTGCTATATAGGTAAGCTGCCACCATTTCACTTAGTGTCCAGGCAGCTGAAGGCAGCTTATTCTACGTTCCAGGGCACCATCTTTGTAAAACTCAGAGCTGGGTTGGCTGATGAAGCAGGAGGGGCACTAACCTATGCCAGACTTTCACCTTGGGGAGGTTTCCCACTTCCTGCCTTCCAGCCAGCCCCCTCCTCCGTGTGTGTGTGTGCGTGTGTGTGTGTGAGAGAGAGAGGGGGGGGCTGTCATTTCAGTCTTCAGCACATTGAGGAATGAGAGAAGATTTCAACCTGGTTCTTCCTTAGAGGCCCCATCAAGATAGAATTACAGGTACATGGGTTTCTGGATCAAAGCTGTATTAGCTATAATCCATAGTTTTCAGCATCTGCATGGAGGGGCTTGGAACCAATCCCCCACAGATATGGGGGTCCTACTGTATATCTGTTATAGTGGCAAAACAGCCCCCTCTAGGCTTCAGAGCAATCTGATATTTCAAGAATCCAAGTCGGAAGAAGCTCCTTTGAGGTTTGCAGAACATCTTTGAGGTGCAGACTCTATCTCTGCAGTGATCACTTTCAATGGTTCTCATCTAATGAAACCAGCTTTTGAACCAATAGCTGCAGTGGAACTAATACTTATACATGAAACTGTATTTTACTGCCTATTACAACAACACAAAAAGCAAATTAATTGTGCATCCTCTGCATGATCCCCCCTTTTTTCTTGTTTCTTTTGTTTTTTCTTTTTCTGCAATTCTATAAGGACATGGTTATCATCTTTCCTGGTATGTCTTTTTCATCCAAAGTGATTTCTGACTTTCACCTCAACCAACCTTTTGTACTCCTAAACTTGTTTCCATCACCTACACAGCTGGAAAAGCCTTTCACGCATTGGATGTTCACCGAGCCCTAGCTTTTTATATCTCAAGAATTAAGCATCTCTGGAAAGCTAACAGACTATTTGTTAACTATAAGAGCTCAAAAATGAGTGGTCAGATTACACACTGATGTCTATCAAAGTGACTTATAAATACAATCACACCATCTTACCAGCTGGCAAAGAAAACAGTCTGTAAATCTCTGAAGGCCTCAACAGCCGTTCTCAAAGGGATCCAACTAAGATAATATAAGGCATCAACGAAGTCTCAGCCCTTGACAGTCATCCAATATTACAGTTTTAACATTAGGGCAAAATTTGATGTTGCATTTGGAAGAACAATACTGTAATTTCATCCACATTAGCATGACATATCGCCAGCCAGTAAGTGAACGTATCAGTCATACATATGTGTGATTCACAGAGACCACAAAGAAAAACAGGTTACTTACCTGTAATTGGTTCTTCCGAGTGGTCAGATGTGAATTCACACATCCGAAGATGGGGGAAACCTGAGGGACAATCACTAGACACAGGGACATGTACAGTGGGGAGACTGTTCTAACAGTTCTTTCCTTAAGCTCTAAAATGTTCCAACAAGTTTCACATAGATGCAGAAACACCCACATGTGCAATTTTACAGATGACCATTTAAAGAACTACAGCAGGGAGACAGGAATGAACAGGCAAGCAAACTGTTCATTCCTGTCTCCCTGCTTTTGTCTCCATGAATCCTGGGGATACTGCATTCATATTATTACCCATGTAGAATAGTATTTCCTAATACAAAGAATTTTAGAGGTGAAATTTCATACTGTACCTGTACTACAGCTTTTGGACATTAAAGCTTAGATGCTACTGAAATTTTGTACTTCTGAAGTTACATGCGAGTACTTGTAGCTCCTTATATAAATGCTTGCATCTCGCAGCTTGACTTGGTTTTGAGGATAAACAAGACTGAAGTAATTAGACTAACCTAATTTCATTTTAAATATCCCATTAACTGTGACCATAATGACATGTGGTACCTAATTGGTTAGAAAGCACATATCTTTACAGAATTGCAGTCACTGCTAAAACATGCTAGTCCATAAGGAATGCTTGTTTTACTGAATCCCATATGCAATCTCTGAATTTTCTCCTGTTATATGAAACATTTAGGATTAAGTGGCAAAACCCAATTCTTAGTAGCTTTTATTGTGGTTATTTTTTATAGCCTTTATAGCTTATAATAACTAGAGCTGGTGTATTCTTAAGAAATAACTATACGACATCTGAGCATAGGGTGTGGTGTACAGAGAGACCATTCCTTCTTTCTGAATGACCATTCTCATATATTTTTTCTTACTAAAGTATCATTGGATTTTCAAAAGTCAGTTTACTGTGTTCTCAATCAGAGATTATTCAAAACTGAAAAATATGGGCAAAATCTAAAAAAATATGCAACCAGGTCCATGTACCTGAAGGCTTGGGATTTGAAGAAGCCGCCTTCTGTGTCATATTGACTTTCAAAGTATGAGAGTTTCTGATATGGCATGGATGTATGTTATAAAAAAACTACACTGATCATATGCAAACCCTTAGGTGTATCCCCCTGCAAAATTTGTTTAAAACTTTGATTGTAATTTTCACTTTTGAGTCCTTCCAGTGGCAATAGATAGATAGATAGATAGATAGATAGATAGATAGATAGATAGATAGATAGATAGATAGATAGATAGATAGATAGATAGATAGATAGATAGATAGATAGATAGATAGATGTCACATGGAACTGACATTCTTAGTTTGTAATTATAACTGCATTTACACAATCTGCAAGTATTTTAGGTAAAAACAAAATAAAATAAAGATGAAAGAATAAAAAAGATAAAAACATGGTGTCACCTTAAAGACTAATTTTTTTAATGTGAGCTTTCGTGGACAAGTCCACTTTCTCAGACATAACAAGAAAGAGATAACATGGCAAATATTTATACATGGTCTCAAAATACAGAGATTGTGGTTGGTTTGTAAGAAATTTAATGGATACTTAATAGTGGGGTGATAGCAACTTTGATATACAGGTGTATTCCATTGAAGCATGTGCTGTAAATGATGCAAGAATCTCTGTCATGAATAACAATGGTAGAATAATGTGAATGTTAACTATACTGAGGAGACTGGCCTTTTGCAAGTATCTGATTTGTGTCTATTAATTCTTTTTGTACTACGTAGTGCAGGGGTGGGCAATTAATTTCTATAGGGGGCCACATGAAAAATCTAAATTGTGTTCGGGGGTGGGTAGTAATAGGCACCCAATTTGTGGGTAGTAATAGGCCCCCACTGGGCGAGGCCCTGCAGTGAACAAACTACAAGGCTGACATAGTTAACTCCCTAAACTTTTTAGGGAGTTAACTATGTGAGTGCTGTAATTCGTTCACCGCAGGGGGGGGGGAGGAGGAAAAAAACTCAGATGCTGAACTAACTTACCTGTCCTCCATTCCCCCAGAGCCTTTCTCTTTGACTGTTTCCTATCCCGCGCAGGCGACGTGATGCATCATCACGTCACCTGCGCAAGGATTGCTTCCGGCCTCTTGAGTCGCAGGCTCCGCAGCCTGCGGCTCAAGAGTAACAGTTAAAACTTGCGAGATCCCAGCGTTGGATCTCGCGAGTTTTGCTTACTGCCGTGCTGGGTGACCAGAGCTGGAGCTCCGGCTCACTTAGTGGCGATGCGCGGACTGGACAGGGGCGGCAACAGGCAGGACAGACTGAAGAGATGACCGGCAGGCTGGACAGGAGCGGCTCTCGGCCCGTATGTGGCCCACGGGCCGCACTTTGCCCAGGTCTGATATAGAGTGTCAGATGGGCGTTATGGCAAAAGATGGCATAAATAACATTGGTAGAGAAATACATAGAATATTGATATTGTGTGTGACATTATTAGCTCCAGTAGAGATATTGCCAGAATAAATGTTTGGGCAGAAGTAGTATCTGGGTTTTGTTCATATCTCTGTGTCAGTGTTGTGTAGCATTCATGTAAAGATTTAATGGTTACTGCTAAGGCTTATTCCCAAGTAAATGTGTTTGGAATTAGAGTGATCTTTTGCAGATGGTAGTTTTAATTAAAGGAATTAATGAGACTCATGTGAGACTTGCAAAGTTGTGGGTCAGATGCATTGTGAGAAAGACCATAACTCATTTATAAAAGAAGCCCATAAAAATTATCCAGGATTTGGGTTTGTTTTATTTTTTAAAAGAGATGCTAATTGTGAATTTAAAATTTATGCTTAGCCATAGTCAAAGTAAAAATACTGCATTTGCTTTAATCTTTTTTGTAATATGTTGGATGCCACCATAACATTTTCTTCATTTGTCTTTCAAGATACCCAGAGAGTGGCATAGTAGAAATGATTGGCCGTAATCTACGACCAAGAGCAAGAACTCTTTTGAAATGGAATGAGCTACATGTGGGTGATGTGGTGATGGTTAACTACAACGTAGAGAGTCCCGAAGAGAGAGGCTTTTGGTTTGATGCAGAAATTACTGCTCTGAGGGAAATTTCAAGGACTAACAAAGAAGTTTATGCCAAAATTATGCTTGGGTAAGAATTTTATTTATCACTTTTGCAGTCCATCTACAAAACACCAGGAACAAAAAGTGTTTCGACTGTGAAATCTTAGCAGATTGTACAGACAATATGGTTTCTATTCTTCATATGAGTCTTTAGAGTTCCTGTTCATATGGTGGCTTACATGGAGAGCCACCAGATGAACAAAAATTCCTCTGCAGATGTGTTGCTTGACATGTAAAGAAATCAGCAATAGATGAATGAGTTCTTGGGGGCTCAGAGCCCTCATGATGGATAAAGCAGGTTCAGCAATGAATAGGGCTCTTGTCTTCACTTAATCATAATTTTATACAATTCTGAATGTGGAAACTGTGTTTACCAGTTTTAGAATAAGTCAAGCTCAAACTAGCTTTACTTAATGAAAGACTTCAAGAAGAATCAGGTTGTTGATGTGTGTATCCTTGTTGAACTATGACAATAAATGGCTTCATCTTAATGGTAGATCGAACAAAAAGAAAGTGGAGCCTTATTCAAAATATTACATTGCATTTATTCAAAGTATTATATTGTTATTTTTTCTACATTTTCTTCAGTAGGGAGCTGGCAATGAATGCGTTTCAAATAGTAACCCACTAGAAATTATAACTGATTTTTCTTGAACGTTGCTAGAAACAGCATTTGTTCAAACTGTTACTATAAATTGAAACCTTGAAGTTATTATTTGAGGAAAAAGTTAACTCTGGCTAAAAGTAAAAAAGATGAAATCCTATGAGTCTCGCAATTTGTTGTTGTTTTTTGGGCTCTTGATTTTATATCATAAAGGTAAGTACACTGTAGGCTATTCAGTACTGTTGAATGACATCACAAGATGTGTCAACAATTGAAAAGGATTTAATTGTCAGATATCTTGAATTTGATAAAATTGCCAATCTTCATCTTCAGTTTCCTGAGTGACAAATATAGTGGTGAAATAGCAAACATAACTGCACATGATTATTAATGAGGCTGTTCAAAATACACAACAAAGTATGTTTTTCGTTAGGAAATGTAGAGGTAAACAGTCTTGCCCAATTCTATAAACAGTAGGATCTAATATTAGCAAGGTCTGTATTTTTCAGGATATACTTAAATAATATTAATTGAGTTATACATATTTTTGCATTTGTTTATTTTATTTATTTGTTTGTTTATTTATTTATTTGATTTGTATACCGCCCATCTGGCAACCCAGGCCACTCTGGGTTTTTATGTGCCATCAAGTTGTCTCCAACTTATGACGACGCTATTAGTGAGTGACCTCCAAATGTCTTGTCTTTAACAGCCCTGCTCTTATCTTTTAAACTCAGGGCTCTGATTCCTTTATGGGGTCAATCGATCTCATATTTGTCTTCCTCTTTTCCTGCTGCCTTCAGCTTTCCCTAGCATTATTGTCTTTTCCAGAGAATCCTGTGTTCTTGTGATATGCCCAGAGTAGGACAGCTTCAGTGTTAATATTTTTGCCTCCAGAGATAGTTCAGACTTGATTTCCTCTAGGACCCACTAGTGTTCATTTTTCTGGGAGTCCTCCAGTACCAAGATAAGACATGTTTATATTTATAGGCGACTGGAATGCAAATATAGGAAACAAAGCATTTATGTCGTAGATAAAAATGTCATGAGTTCAGACTATGTGCAGACGTAGCATGTGCACTTCAGTAGAATACATTGTCTGGGGTGCCTGTACAGATGGCAGTTGTTTTCTTTAACCAGATAAGAGGGACAGGACCTCCCCTCTTGCTATAGACTCCATGCCTCTCAGAATTCTGCTCCAAGGAGTAGAAAACTACTCAAAGCAGTTTATTTTGTTTCTGAAACATGTCTCTGCTTCTTGACTAAGGATCAGTCTGGTATTCAACATGCAACACATGAGAAACAGGAATTGATGTACTTCTGCTTAGTTCTATCTTGAATTAAGAGGACTGTGATAACAAGTTTTTTTTTAGCTGATACAAGTAGAATACCATATTTTTCTGTTTATAAAATGATTAGATAAATAATTAGAGGGAAAATTGAGGGTTGTTTTATACAGTACACTGAAGTAAGGAGGAGGGAGGTATCAAAGTGCTTTGATTCCTGCTTTCCCCCCTCCATGTTTTGCAAAGAAAGTGGAGGGGGAAAGCAATTCCTACTTTCCCCCTACACTTTGTTTGCAAAAAGCTGCTTTCCCCCTCTACTTTTTGCGATGAAAGTGGAAGGGGAAAGTGATTCCTACTTTTCCCCTCCTTTTGCATTGCAAAAACTGATTTCCCCCTCCACTTTTTACAATGAAAGTGTAGCGGGAAAGCGACTCCTGCTTTTCCCCTACATTTTCGTTGCAAAAAGTGTAGGGGGAAAGCAGCTTTTAGCACAGAAAGTGGAGGGGGAAAGCATTTTCTTTGCAAGAAAGTGTAGGGGGAAAGCAGGAATCATAGCGTTTTGATCCCTGCCTCCCCCCTCCACTTTCTTGCAGTGGTAGAAATGTTGGGTTCGAAAAATAAGGGAGAGCGTCTTATACATGGGGGCGTCTTATACATGGAAAAATACGGTAGCTGCAAAAGGATAGCATTTCAGTTACCGATTTGCTAAATAGTATCATCTGCCCCCAGAGACAAATCTTACATTTCCTCTATTTCAAACTTTTGTTTTCAATTCTTCAGTGTTCTGGTCTCAGATATTTTCTTGCTGACCTTGAGGGGGCCCTTTAATAGTGACTGTGACAACTGCTTATCCAATTAATTGCTTGTGGTGTGCAATAATCTAACTGGGGATCTCTTGCCAGAGGGTTTAAAACTGAAATCCTTTTGGGTGAGATTCAAATTACTGCTTAGAATACCTGCAATGATATCCTATGCATATTTGCACAGAAGTAAGCATTGGTAAGTTCTTTGGGGCTTACTCCCAGGTAATTGGGCATATACTCTCTTCATTGATTTAATTTAGTGACATTGTCTATTCTTTGTTTCAAGAGACTGGAGTGAATCAATGTAAAAATAAAATGTACACTTTATGAAATGAAGGAAACAATAAAAATAATAATAAATGAAAGATAAATATGTATAGGAGTGAAATACATTATTATTGTATAATAGATCTCTAGTTCCCAGTTTCTATTTTCAAGGGTGTAATTAGTCATATGTAGAATTCTTAATGTTCCATTTGTGAGTGACTTTTCAGAGAGATATACAGTGGTGCCTCGCATAGCGAGGTTAATCCGTTCCGGATTAACCTTCGCTATAGCGAAA